TTTTCAATGAAACAACCTGTATTTCGTCACATTCTTGAATCGACCAAAAATGATTCCATGAGAGGTAACTACGTACCTAACTATAACCGTTCTCGAGTTATTGATTTTTTTATTAAAATGCTAGGTACAGTTCGAAACTAAATAACATGGAAATGTATAGAAATCATCCCTTCAAATTCTGACCGAACATAAAAAAGATTTTGGATGATTGATTCTGTTTCTCAATATTATACAGAATGTTCAAATTCACTGTCAATTTTTATAATTTCGGACAAAGATAACACCCTGTATTATTTTGGATTGATCAATAGAAAATTAAATTATCATTAATTTCACTCCGAAGTTCTCTAAACCTAACCTAAATAGTTTTTCAAACATTGGCTTTTTCAAATAGTAGTTCTTATTTCAATGCATTTATTGAATCAAGAACCTCTGAAACGATATTTACTCGACTTGCTTACAGAATTCTAATCGAGAGTTGTTATACTTCACTTCATCGAAAATATTTACTGTTCAGTAAACAGGCTATACATTTTTTTTACTGTTCAACTGAAAAAAAAAACGGATTATGAAACACAAATGTATTCAATTCAAATGAGTTGCTCAAAATGACGACCATCCTGCTGAATACAAAGATCCACTGTTTCTATGAAAGAGTGCCCAACATTTAATAACATTTGAGGCGTCACTCTTCAAAAAGCAGTCATCCACAAGTATCCTCCTAGAAAAAATCAAGGCAAGTCAAATCTGGTGATCTCGCTGGCCAATTTTGTAGTCCTCCCCTACCAATCGGAAAGCATATATTTGAAAACTGTCTGACACTGAATTCGAAATGTGCCGGAGCTCCATCCAATTGTTACCAGACCAGTTGTCTGATATTCAGCGGCACATTCTCCAAAGGCTCAGAAGATCATCTCGTAAAAATTGTAGAAATATTTGACCATTCAAGTTTCCATCAAAATCATATGGTCCTGTAATTTGTGTACCTATAATTCCTCCTCATATATTCTGATGATTCAGAATACGGAAAAAATGGAGATGAGGATAGTCATGAAATTTGTGCTGAAAAACGGAACGAGCTACCATCGTTCAAAAAATATTTGACAGTAAGTTGTTGTCATAGCTTATCCTATTTGTTGAGAACTATCTCTGCCACCATTTTCTTTTTGTTCTTGGGCATGGGTGGCTATAATGATGAAAGCAGCACTAGCACCAGCAGCAGCAGTGTTCAGTTCCATTTTTATTTTGATACTGAGTTTGGTTTGGACATTCACCATCAAACATGTTGCCAACATTCTGTGGGCTGGTCTGTACTCAATTTAAAAAAGCCTCAAGCAAATCAACACAATATCGGAAAACGTGAAACTCTATAACCCCAATCTCGAATCAACAAAACAATGATCTTCGTCTGCTGAATAAAAAACGCGATAATATTTCAATGTGACTAATTATTCTGGAAACGCCATTTTGTGGTTTCGCATATAAACCCAGATCAGATACGTTATTACACGACCTGGAGTGAAATTCCCCAGCTTGTAAATCGAAACCCATTCGGAATAGTAATCAGCCCCAGGGACCGAGTTTAGATAAACCTAACGACGAACCCGAATGGTTAGTCACTGATTAATTATTCTATTTGTTCTTTGCGAGATGCATACCGAATTGTCGATAACTAGTTTCAGAAGTGATGGATTTCTGTAGTTGTTCATGCAGAATATATACTTTATGATTTAATTTCGTTGAATTGTAATCTTATTCATTTATGAGATTTTAGTTTCAAAACATAAACATGGTTGGTGCAATGAATAAATCGGTGACTTATTCCCTGACGTGTACAATTCATTTGAATCGAAGAAAATGCATAAAGAAATTCACATCAGAAAATAAGGAGCATAGTCAACTTCCTTTTCCCGAAATCATGCACAAAATATCGATAGAAACTGTAGGTATAAGTTTGCAATTCAGTTCGTAACCTATTAGAGAAGGAAACTTTATTGAAAGCCGTTCTAGAAAAAACTGACTTTACGGAACAGTTTGTAGGAAGAGCTCTTAATGAATTTGGTGAAAACAGTAACACACCCATATAGATTCACACAATTATCACAAACCCAACAAATACACGTTGTTAGATTTGTGATGATTGTGTTACAATCAACTCTGGCTCTGACTCGAAGAATAGGTTGACCAGAGCATCTAGAGGAAGAAATGAAATATCTTTCAAGTGCCCTTAAGATCGAATGGATACAGTGTACCGTTAGGTTAGGTTATGTTAGGTTAGATTAAGTTAGGTTGGATTAGGTTAGATACGGTTAGGTAAGTCGAATTAGGTAATATAATGTTAGTTAGGTTAGGTTTAGTTAGGTTAGGTTTGATTAGGTTAGATTAGGTTAGGTAAGTTGGATTAGGTTAGGTTAGTTAGGTTAGGTTGGGTTTGATTAGGTTAGGTTAAGTTAGGTAAGGTTAGGTAGATGTACAAAGCCATGAAACTGAAGGGTTCTACGGCCCAAAACGTGGAGAAGGCTCGGATGGTTGCATGCGCGTATCTACCTCATATCCCTAGGGACACAGACTTTAAAAACTCTTGGGGAAACACATCAAAACGGTTTTCAAACCCACCAAGGAGATACAACAAAGCATCTGATCGGCTGAAGACAAAAGGGTTCCACTATCAGCAGCAGGGGTTTATTGCATATGGTGCACTTGTGGGAAGGTATACATTGAAACCACCAGAAGATTCATGAGAACAAGACTGAAGGAGCATGAAAAAAACTGCAGAGTTGATCGAACAGACAAGTCAGCTCTGGCAGAACACGCACTCAGTGAAGGAAACCACTGTTAACAATCACTGTTTGAAAACACGGAAGTCATTGCTCCCGAACAAGGATACCATAGCCGATTAGTACAAAAGGCAATATAAATCAGCATGATGGTAGGTCAACGGACGTTATTGATGATTTACCAAATCCAGGTGCAAGTATCAGCATACCAAACTACCTGAATCAACATGAATACGCTTTACGCAGCCGTCATATTATATTAACTCAGAACTCAGGATATATGAACCTCTATAAAAGCTTGCCACTCGCACCAGTGAAACGTCAGGATGAAATTCCAAAAATCCGCGGCCTCCAAACTCAGAAAATGGGTAAAAATAAATCAAATCCCAACAAAACTAACCTAGCTCCTAAAAAACTCAATGATTTCTATTGCTCTATTGGTTAAAAACTTAAAGAGAACATAAAAGCCAGCTGTGACCCCTTGAAATACCTTAAAAATGTAAATGTTGTTGAAAACTCCATTCTTACACATACGAATGTACCTGAGCTTATACACATGGCCAATGCAATAAAAAATAAAAATTTGGCGGGTATGGATGGAATGTCTGTAAAAATATTTGAAAATCTATCTCTGAGTGTATTACATGTTTTGGTTGAATGCATTAATGAATCATTCAGGTATGGTATATTTCCCACATATCTGAAAATAGCTATGGTTATTCCATTACATAAGGGCGGATCTGAAGACCCCTCAAATTTCAGGCCCATTTCATTATTATCGACCCTTTCAAAAATTTTCGGAAGATTTGTGAAAACAAGACTGATGTCCTCTTATCGATGAACAGTGTGCTATCTAGCCTTCAGTTCGGCTTTCAAGTTCGAAAAATGCCACAGATACCATTTTCTCCATAAAGGATGGCCAGGCTGTTGTAGCAGTGTTTTGTGATTTTTCGAAAGCTTTCGATTGCGTTGGTTATAAGACATATCTGCGGAAGCTCAGCCATTATGGGATAAGAGGAACAAATTAGACCTGATTTGGTTCATATTTGACAGAACGTCGACAGGTGGTGAAAACATCAAGTAGACAGTCTGATCTCAGCGATATAAAACATGGAGTACCTCAGGGATCTCTTTTACGACCAATGTTGTTTTCAATATACTTAAATGACCTAAAACCATTATAATCGCAGAACAATTTACTGTATTCGCCAATGATATCACTATTATATGGAGTAATAAAGAAATTAATCAGCTATCAAATATGATAAGAATTGATATTCAACAAATTCAAGGTGTAACGCGAACTCATTGTGCTTCAACCTAAACAAAACTAGTTACTTTCAAATGTATACTAGACGATTTAGATTTGGATAACCACTACATAGAAAACAAACAGCACACTGAATTACTAGGCATACACATAGACAATAATTTAAATTTTAAAGAAAATGTATCCCATTTGAGTAAAAAAGTATCAAGTGGATGTTATGCTATTGGAGTGGTATCAAATGAACTAGGGTACACTACAGCTAGGATGGCTTACTTTGCATTGATCGAATCTCATATTCGCTATGGAATAGCTTTCTGGGGCCATTGTAGTTTACAATTACAGAATACGATATTTAAGCTACAGAAGAGATCTTTGAGATACCTTACAAAGTCTAACTCGAGAGATCATTGCAAGCCTTTATTAATCAACCAAAAAATATTAACTGTCACTTATTTATACTTAATGGAAACAGTATGCTCAATTCATAAAAATAAAACTAGCATGTACACTCCCGGAACAAATTGTCACAACACAATTTTTTACAAGACTTTGTCAATAAGATACTAATCTTTTGACAATAAAGAATATATTGATTCGATTTGATCTGACACAGGAGTTGATGTATGATGGTTTTCAGCCTGTTTCTGATGAGGAAGTCAAATTTTTATTTTTGATTGATTTGTGATGAACTGTTTGGAACCTTTGGTGTAGTAATGAAGATTACTGGAGTTTCTCACAACACCAAATCGTTATTTTCAACACCTCGACACGTGTTTCGATCGCCAAATGATCATCTTCAAGAGGAAGATCAAAATCTTGAAGACGATCACTTGGTGATCGAAACACGCGTCGAGATGTTAAAATAACGGTTTGGTGTTGGAAAAACTCCAGTAATATTCATTTCAATCACATCGGAAAATTCGTTTCACAAGAGATACATGAAAACTACTCACTTTGCAAATTCATTGATGAAATCACTTCCTCTAGCGTTGTTTTTCCAGCAACTATTCTGCTTTCCATTCAACAGATTACCCAGCACCCACTCCGGAGACCGACTCAGTACTTGTTTCAACGAAGAAACTAAAAGACGAACCGCACCTTTCACTAAATGTCTGTCCACTCGCACTGGTAGTGGCTTAATACTAAGAAGTCCTAAGGGTAGTTCCCCAGTACTATTACTGACTCTCCGATATTGAGGCCTTCCATCTTTTAATTTAGAACTTTCAACGCCATAGTTATTATTAAATAAAAGTAAGTGGTCATTTCTTAATAAATAATTTATGTGCATATCACTTATATCACTTTTTTCTATGCTACGTTTGGAACGGTCTTCGCTTTTGGTGTCTTTATCGTCTTCTGTACCATTTTTGACGTTGATAACGGCGGCTGTGTCGATCCAAACCCAAACGAAATGACCGTCCATCATGTTGAGGCGCTTAGCGTCTTCCAAAATCCGAATGGAGCTTGAACGATCACTCATCAAAATGACAACTCCCCTAGTGGACCTCGAAATGTCAGCCAGTTTCCTGAAAAAAAAAAATCAAAACCTGGAATGAACAAAACACACGCACTACAGGAAAATCCGTAAGGCGCTCTAAGAGCGGTGCCTGTGCGAAGGTAGTGATTCACAGTGGATTTGAATCACTGGAGATTAACAATTTATCGACCCATCACTATTCCAAAATCATCAAAAAATTTATTCATAATAAATTGCTTGATTTTTCGTAGAGTAATAATATTTTGAGCAAGTTTCAGTACGGGTTTTGTCTTAATGGATAGACGGAAGAAGCGACAGTTGCTTTCAAGGAATGCATTTACAGCAATGTTGACAAGAGAAAGTATGAGACACTTGACTCTATTAACTTCAATTAAATGAATAAAAACAGTTTCGTCTTAATACCACTGGTAGATTTTTCAATTTAATTATGTGATTTCATTACAATATGTGAAACAACGATAAATAAAAACAACAATAGGAATCACTTGGCGCTCCGGGGCGACTTCATTGATTCCAGTGGCGCATTTGCTTTTTCAGCTGCAGGAAAACCCGGAAAAACCTGCCGCATCATCATCCTTAAATCTTCATCTGCTAATGTCTTATCTCTCATAAAACAAAAAAGTAGGGTGTCTCCAGAGGCTCCAATAGATTCAATACATCGCCAGGATACGACTATCGTCAAACTTAAACCAGTCCGTTTCGTCTTTGGCCAAGGCGTAATAATGACCAAATTCAACGCCAGAACCACAGTGAACAATTACTGCATGAATATTATAATAGTGGTCTGCTAGATTGAAATGTTCATCTATTTCGAACCTTCGAAAGAGTTTCTTGTTTCCGTCAGAGGTTGAGTCTTGTTCGAAGATCATCAGTGTTATTATTAGATTGACTGTTGCCTCAGCTATACTTGTTTCCTAATAACAGCCAGTTAGTTTGGCGCATGTTTGACAATACACTCGATCGTCACCAGTTATAAATTCGATTTTCAGATATCTAGTGGACTTGAAAGACTCCCTGAAATCGGTTGGAGGGAAAGATAATACATTTTTACGAAACTGCAGCTGCATGAACAGGTGTTTGAGTTTGGTAAATGAGTAGGAAACATTTCCGTTCTCGTTCATCATTGAAACCTCGTTCTTAAAATTCTTCGTCATGAACAACACTTGTAAAATGCTATTCATATAGCAAGTGTTTTCTAAATCATCCAATCCAATTTTATTCTCTAGATTTTCAGAGGACAACTATCTATTGATTCGTAAGGAAGAACATGTTTCACAGAATCTCCATAAGAACCATTTCTCAAGCTGCGATCGCTCCTTCCAAGTGAAGAAGGGTTTCGTAGAGGGATCGATTCGGCTGTTGCTTCATGAAGCTCTTCCACTGAAAGGGAACCAGAACTACGGAGACTGCAACTCATATTTGGGAGGCAAGAATGACCTAAGTCCATTGACCGCACTAAAAAAGAAGAAGGTGGATCAAAAAAGAGGTGGAACGGTGATCTTTCGTACCAAAAGTATCAACCGCTACTGGATGGAACAGATAGTTGTTACCAAGATTTTGGTATATTTTCTTTTCAATTTCTTGCCAGACAATGCTGCAGTTCCAGCAGACTTCGAACTTACGGCTAGATGGGAAGCCGCTTCCTTTTTAGTGTTTGGCCTCATTTTCAAGTATAAAATCTACCAATGGTATTTAGACAAAAGTGTTTTTTCATTTCATTTAGGTGATAGTGAATTATCAGAAAGTAAACAAGTCATCAATCACACATATTCTATCAACTTCGATATATTCCACCAGAAAAGTTATGTACTTTAGGAATTCGTGAAATATTTTTAAGCTGGATATTGTCATATATAAGGTACAGAAGGGTATACGTTAGATGGGATGGTGTTGATTCGGACATGTTTGACACTTCACTTACAGTTCCCCAGGGATATATTTTGTAGCCGTTAATATTTCTGCTATACAATAATGACCTGCCAGAGTATATTGAAACATCTTGTACTTTACATATTGTACTTTATGGAGATGACACATCGATTTCTGCAGCTGCGGACAGTAGGAGCTCGAAGAAAGACTGAATTTTATCAGCAATAATTTTACGACATGGTGTCATGATGATGAGCTTGTCATTAATGCAGAAAAATGAATATAAATTGAATTCTATGTAGTTACTGTGCGTAATAACAAATTCAACTCGGTATTACGATATATGTATTTTCCGACGTTATTCTCATCATCAGTGTGAGGTCATACAATCCACGGTCAGAGCTATCTCAAAAACTAGGGACTGATATTTTTCGAGTCTAGATCTCAGAACTACACAAATCGGAACAACATGAAATATTCTAAAAGTGACGAAGAGAAAAAAATCAACATCAAATTGCCCTCCATCGTTCCTCAAACACGTCAACTCTTATAATAATATTTTAATGGTGATTTCCCAGCATTTGTGAATTTTATAGCCTTGCAAGCACTTTTAATTGTTTCTGTTAGTCAATAATGCCAGAAGTTCAGTCGAATACCTTATCTTCATTGAAGCCACACAATGAAAAGTCCAGAAGTGTCAGAACAGGTAAACGTGGTGGCCACATAATGAGACCATGGGCGTGGAATGCACATGCACCTCTACTTGCAGAGTTTCAAAAGATGTGTGGAGATATCGACTTCTACCGTATTGATACTGCACAAATATTGATGATGTTTTTAGGAAAACAAATGTATTGTAATACATTGCTGAATTCATCATTACAGTGGCTACAAAAATCGATGAAAAAAACTGGAGGTACGTATTTAAAAAAAACTTCGCATTGCGAACTGGTTTATATCAGATCATAACGAATGAAACATTATTACAAGTTTCCTCTATTATTATATTATTTGAAATGGAGGCGGTGGAGACGAAAAACGAAATTCGATAATTCTAGTTTTTGGTGGAATTTTCCATCATTATATTGAGAATATTGGAAATCATGAAAAAAATACTTAGGTATTCTGTTTTCACAGATTTCTTTCTAGTTGGATCTCATCCATCAGGAACTTGCTATGTCTGATGACAAACAGCTTCTGCTTCATGATCAGTAGAGGACACTAGTTCATTTGTCCATTTCCAACAAGCATATATTCTATAATGCATATTACTTTTTCTGAAAACGCTTCAACTGGTTATGCTTTTATATGGTAGCAATGAAGGATACTGAATAAAAACAATCTGAATACGATAAATAACTCAGTTTATTGTTCTCACCTAGATTCAAATTCATTTAGTGATTGACTATCTATGCATCTAGCTTACTCAAGTATAAAATAAAGAAGTCATCATTAATATTATATGACAAACAAGTCGATTGATATATAATTATAGCACGACCTTGTGGACAACCAACTATGTAAAGCGGAACTTTTAATCAAATAATGATTCACTGCCGTCAACAAAGCTGGGTATTCGTTATTCCTGTAGTCAACAAAGAAATTGCATGAAAGGCGCCCTGTAATTTAATTAGATCAAGATTAAATTGACTCTATTCAGACAAGCATGATTATCATTTTTGTGCCACTCGTAGTTGTCGGGTCACAACTTACAAAGTACGACGAAGCAAAATCAACCCTTTATAAGATGTCTCCTGCCGTTGATTTGGTGAGATGAGTCTTTCAGTTCGTTAGACATGGTGAAATTTGTGGAATTAGGTACTGGAGTTTTCATAATATCATTACATAATAATAATAATAATATCACATTTTATGAAACAGTATTCACAGAACATAGACCAGAGTCATTTCATAAGAGAACAACACTAGGGTTAGTAGGCCGTCATAGAACATTTGAACTGAACATTCCACCTGCTACACAACCCACCAATAGCATACCTATCAACAAAGTGGACCATTAAGAACAGCCTAGTAACAGTACGGATCATTGAGAACGCCCAACAGAATTAGAACCAATCAAGAGTGAGTATTCACTTGGATAACGCCCCCACTACTCGACCTCGCTGCTATTCTCATCAACACCCCCACCAACTTTTAAGAGTATAAATACGAGTGAACATGTAGCAAGTCAATTAACCCTGAAGAGGTATAAACCTATAGCATGGTCCCAACAAACATCCAAATACTTTGTAAACTACTGACCCCTTAATAATGGATAAACGTAATTACACATACATACATAGCCAGTCAAATACGAGCTATACACGGTGCGATGGGTGAGATACCACGCATCGAAACAAAAACGGACCTGGAGAACGCCACACAACAGCTGCAACAGGTGATCACCCAAACGATGGAAAGAAGCGCACGAGAAGTCCCAGTCCTGCGCTGTAACTTCCAAGAGCACCTTCCACCAGAAAATATGGAACTGATACGAATAAGAAGACGCCTGAAAAGACAGTACGAAAGGACACGTGCACCTATGGGCAAAAGTTGCATGCAGAGAGCCAACATGATACTGAAAAAACAATTGAAAGCTATCCGCGAAAGGCAATGGACCACCCGTCTGCAAGAACTAAACACTGAAGACCTGTCTGCATGGAGAATGCAGGAAATACTCAGGAACGGACCTCGACAGCCATGCCCACCAATACACGGCGAGTAAGGAATCGTCTACACTGACCACGAGAAGGCGGAGGCATTCGCGGACAACTTCGAAAGGCAGTGCAGAGAGAATGACGTCCCGTTCACGGACGAGGTAGACAAAATAGAGAGACAGGTGAAAAGAACGGTACGAAGGTTAAGACAACGAATGGACAACGCGCAACCCCTGGCCCCGACATCTCCCGAGGAAGTGAAAGACATACTAAGACGTCCATCCACTCGGAAAGTACCAGGTTCGGACAACATAACAAACCGGGCACTGGAAGTACTACCGCGCAAGGGTGTAGCAGCCATAACCAACATCATAAACGCTATACTCAGACTGCAGCACTTCCCGAACCCGTTCAAAGAGGCAACGGTTATCCACATTCCGAAGCCCAAGAAGAACCACCTGTTCCCAGACAATCACAGGCCAATAAGCTCACTTCCTTCCAT